GTAGTATATGTATATATATATATATATATGTTGAGTCAAAAGCTTGGAGCTATGCTTCCCAAAGCGAGATGAGCTCCAGCCTCTCCTGTGCCTCGGAGTGCTGCGGGAGGCGATGCAGTAGAGCCAGACCCAGCAGTGCCAGCGCCGGCACCGCCAGAGAGGGGGCCACCGAAAGCCATCCGAAGCTTGTCGAGGCCGCCCGAGGAGACGCCATGGCCATGCGAAATGGCTGATAGACGTCCCCTCCCAAAAAATAGGTCGAAGCTGAGGGCCGGCAGCTGTAGCGCAGATCAAGCTGCGAGTTATAAGGTTGGGCTCCCCGTAAGAGTCAGGAACGGGCCCGGAAAGTTACATGAGCAGCACGAGGCTGTTGATGCAGTGGCAGAATATTTTTCAGGAGCCAGTGATGCACTCACCTTCTGGCGCGGGGTCTGCGGGGCCCAAACTACGTTGGGACGGACCACGAAGGAACGATTCCGTTGCGACTGGTGCGGCACCTACAGTGGAGCATCATCGACATCGACATCGACATCGACATCATCATCATCATCATCATCAGCTGAAGTAGGAGCCAGGGACTGCATGCCCTCTCTGAACAAATGATGGGCCTTCTTGCGAACCTGCTACTGCTGGAATCTGTTTGTAGCTACCGGGTTACTTACCATCAAGTTGCAGGATACCTTAGTTGCAACGGTTGTTCTGCATGGTACTTTCATGACTACTTCGAACTACACTACACCCTCGGCCAAAAGTCCTTGACTCAAAACTCAGCCCGACTTCTAACCTACAAGGCTGGGGGCTTAGGGTTATAGGGTTTGGGGGTTGGGGTTTATGGGGTTTATGGCTTTAGGGTTATAGGGTTTTGGGTTACCAAACTCATATAATCTTCTAGCATTAGGCTCCTGGGCCTAGAACGGCTCAAACGCTTGAGAAAGCTGATGGCGTATCATTCGGAATAACACATCTAGGCGCGAAACCGCTCGGCCAAAGTTCAAACTCATGTAGACACTTGTTTCTGGTCTTCTCCTTAACCCCCCAACAGTACAACTCATGCTTGGGACCGGTGTTTGAGATGTATCATGCTCCAAATGTAGAGAGCTTTATACTGCAATTTGTAATCATATTGCAAAATTGCTGAGCATTGAAAATTTTAAGCCTTCACCGCCCACACCCACGCCGGCGGACAAAAAATGACGGTCACTCCTAAGCTTAAACCGGCGGAAGGGCTTTTTTGTTGCAAAGGTGTGGCTCGGCCATGTTTCCTTGCAAAAGTGTGGCTCGGCCTTGGTTCTTGCTTCGGGGCTGCGAATACTGTAAATGGCCGCATTTCTGCGTTTGCACATAACAGCATTTGTGCGGTGCCAGAGCCTGCAAATACTGTAACTAGCGGCATTTCTGTGTCGTCAGATGCTGCAAACACTGTAACTAGCAGCATTTCCGAGTTTGCAGAGGCCGAGGCAGCAAATACTATAAATAGCAGCAGTTCTGCATTTTCAGAGGCTGCAAATATGGTGAGTAGCAGGATTTCTGAGGTTGGAAAGGCTGCACATGATGGGGGTTGAGGGTTTGATCTCGGCAAGCATAAGCGGCATTTCTGAGTGCTGCAAATACTGTAAATAGCAACATCTGCGCGCCTGCAAATACTGTTAATAGCAGCATTTCTGTGTCATCAGAAGCTGCAAATAATGTAAATAGCAGCATTTGCGCGTGTCCAGATGTCGCAGTTCCGAGTTTGCAGGGGCTGTAAACACTGTACAAATAGCAGCATTTCTGCGTTTTCAACGGTTGCAAAAACGGCAAATAGCAGCAAGTTTAAACCCCTCCTCCCCCATTTGCAAACACGATGCAGGCACGATGGGTTTCAGACAAAATGTTTTTTTCAAAGCTTTGCGCGCCTAAAAAGAGCGGGGGGCGCAGCCCCACCATTTGCAAACACAATGCTCGCATCGTCATGCATTTGAAAAAGGAGCGTATGGCTTATAATCTGCAAACACAGTGCTCGCATCATGTGTTTGAAGTTTCAGACAAAATGTTCTTTCGAAGCTTTGCGCGTCTAAAAGAGCGGGGGGGTTGGGGGGGGGCGCAGCCCCCCCATTTGCAAACACACTGCTCGCATCATGCGTTTGAAAAAAGACTAGACGGCTTACAATGGGTGGCAGACTTAAAAAAAACATGGGGGTTGGGGGGCGCAGCCCCCCCCATTTGCACACACAATGCTCGCATGATGGGTTCGTACGACATAAACCCCCCTCCCCCATCTGCAAACACGATGCTCGCATGATGGGTTTCAGACAAAATGTTCTTTCGAAGCCTTTGTGCGTCTAAAAGAGCGGGGGGGGGCGCAGCCCCGCCCCCCGTTTGCAAACACAATGCTCGCATCATGCGTTTGAAAAAAGACTAGACGGCTTAACATGGGTGGCAGCCTGAAAAAAAGCAGGGGGTTGGGGGGGGCGCACCCCCCCCCCCATTTGCAAACACAATGCTCGCATAATGGGTTCGT